GGGAGCTGGTGGGGGGAAACGGGACCCACAGAGACAAGAAAAAGAGGGGAAAAACTGGGAGGAGGGTTTGGCGGATTAAAGCCCCAACCAGCCTTTAACTTTTCCCAAACCACATGGAGCTGGTGTCCAATGCCCTACATATTCAAAGGCATGTACACTAGCCCACTTCCAGTCGGTGACACAGATGGAGACAGAAATATACAAGCGCTGGGCAACCAGTTTCTCTGATGTTGCTTTCCATGCGGTGCGCTCTGCTGACAGACCGAGTTAGCCATCAACCTTCCGAAGCGGGAGATGGACAAGTTCACTTACGTTAAGCAAACGTCGCCACCATGCTACTCATCATTACCTGCCACAGACGCTTAATATCAGGATTGCTTCTTGGGTTTGACACAGCTGAAAAAGCCATTAAAAGTCAGATAATCAGTTTGAACAACAGGGCTCAGTGTGTCTTGCAGCGCACTTAGCTACATGTTGAGTTGGAGCTGCTTGTGTGTTGTTCCGGTGACCTTCCATCCCCATGGAAAAGCAAAGGATTCAGCAGAACTTTCCATGTATATGACCCACATCATGGAATCTCTTCACCTCCACCACTGCTCTTTCCACGGGCTAGACAGGGAAGGATGATACACTGGCACTGAATCTCACTGGCACTGCTGTATTTTGGGGTTAGCTATTCCTGGACTATTCTCTGGACCCAACTCTTTAGTGTCGCCCTTTTAGTGGAGCAAAAGAGAAATGGTCTTGTTGCTGGAGCTACATTTTGTTGATTTACAGTAGCAAACTAACTAACTCTGCCTCTTAGTGAGCTACGAGATGAAGTTAAGTTGCTTGAGGTGAGCAAATTACTTCAAGACTGATTTTTGGATCTTGTTGACAACATTTGCGTGCTTTGTAAGTTAAGCAAAACATTAAAAATGCCAATATTTTCCAAATGGCAGCTGTGGAGTGTCAAGTTCTGTGGTCTCAGCTGTTCAGCATATTGATGTTGTTTTATCAGAGCAGATCATTTAAAGCAAAGCACTTGGAGCCTCTCTGGGTTTCTATGGTTGGACTGAGTTAATTTGGTAGATTCATTTTATTATTTGCACCATTGAAATGAAAGGAAAATTCAATTTGCTAAAAGGATGAATAATGGTTAAGTGAAATGAATTGCTAAGTCATTAAATGCTGCATCCTTGGAAATACTGTGCCTCTTTAATGTGAAAGCAACAGGCTACGGAAAATGTATTTCCAAGACATAATTTGCAATCATCGTGAAAATTGTAATTTGCTTCTTGTAGAGCGTTTGTCTTCTGCTTTGTCTCACAGTGGGTGAGGGGGGGTGAAGTGCTAAGAAAAGGGCCTATAAGGGTCTTGTAGTTATCCCTAGGTGGAGTCCGCTTTTAGAACCCCGACCTCACTACATGAAAACAAAACGTGTGGAGAAAAATAACCTCAAGGAGAAGCCGTGGCCTAGCCAACCACTGGACACTGAGCAGCACAAAAGCGCGTGTGGGCTGTCCTCGAACTCCCTCCGCCAAATGTCTCCACGTAAAAAACCCACTTCCCATAGGGATGTCCCACACAGGCAGACGCAGACACATAGTAGTGGCATATGGACAGAAACACGAGGTGAGGCAAGCAGATAAATAAATGCTTAGTGCTCTTAAAATCCACACACGTGAACACAGACACAAATACAGCAGTGCCTGGGGTTAGACCCATCCCATCGCCTCAGACTGCTGATGCTGTCCTTACTGTAGCTGTGAGGCCTGAGGGCGTCACCGCATAAGTATTAACCTCGCTCATATTTTACAAGCACCGCTTACTGCCCCAGTCCAACATAAACAGGTGTGCACGCCAAATTGGGCGTCATTACTCCTCAGGCTAATGTCTTGTCTGCTTATATATAACTTACACTTGAAAAAATGTGGTTATTTACAATGTATGTGACTGATATGTAAGAGAGAAGCTGCTCGTCTTTATGCAGTTGTTTTGTTAAGCAAAACTCTGTTGCATCTTCCCTCTTTTTTAAATAATCACCATGCACAGTCTTTGCTATTGAGTTTCACAGTTGATTTCAGTTTAGTTTATATTACTCTGCAACTAATTCTGAAAAAGAAAACTAAATTAATTCTCTACTGTCTGTGCAAAATAGTTAACTCTCTGTTCTGCAGAAACCCAGGCGCACATTATTTGGACACTATAGTTACACATAGATGGAGACAGTCAGGTAGCGTTCAGAGTCCTCACAGTCTGGGGTCTTGACGATCCCCACTTTGCCTTGTGGTTTATGATGTCACACACGGCTCTGCCTTTGAATGGCCATGTGTTCCTCACCACTAATATCAAACAGATGATGAGAAACCTCCAAATGATGGTCTTTCACTAAGACAAGCAGTCAAAACAAAGTTAAAGGAACACAGAAAAACACCAAGAGATCACATGAAAAAAAGAAAGACTGTACGTTCTTAATTGTCTGCAGGCTCGGTTGTGGGCAGCGTTTAAGTTTTCAACAAAGAAGAAGAGCACACAATGCAGTTTAACTTTCTAAATGAGCCAACTGCTAAGAGATGTTTTCAGCACAGTAGTACTTCCATGTTTTGCCATGTTGTATCACCTTAACCAAAGCCTTCACATCCTGGAATAACAAACAAGATTTAAAGGATTGCCCTAGAATAATCCATCATCCCTGGGACTGTTAAACATCCCGTTTCTCAACTGAGGAGAAGTCTATAATTGAAGTGCGGCGTCTGGAAGACAACAATCCTTTGCTTCTCACTTGGTATCTGGCTAATCTCAAGCCCCAGCTCAGAAGACCTCTGACTCCTCCATTTTGTATTTAATCTCTTCATTTGGGCAATTTATTTTTTTGCCACCCTGGCTTCTCTTCCCCCACTCTCGCAGATGTGTCTTATCTCCGAGAGGCCAAGCTTCTGATCTGAATGTCCTGTCTCATTTTGCCAAAGTTACAAATTACGAGAGGAGGCAGAATGTTGGAGCTAATTCAAAGGAATTTGGGAGGGCTTCTGTCACTTCACAAAACAGGGAAGAAAATTTGAAAAAAATTACTTGGCATTACGCAATGAAACTCTCAACAATAAAAAATCTAAACTAAAAGTTGTTTTATATGACTTTGGCTGAGATCCATTTAATTACCCAGACAGCCAATATAAATTCTCTTTATAGCAGATAGTAAAAGGTTTTGTCAGCCAAATGAGGAAATCACTCTGCGGGATCGACCTGTTTTGCGCTACTTTATTGGCTCTAATCATTTTAGTTTAGTTCAGTTTTCTGTCTTTTCAATTAGTGTCAATGAATACGGACTTCTTCACATCCTCTTTCGATTCAATTGAAGCTACCATGGTTTACATAAGCTATACAGACCCTGATTTGTCTTGCAAGTGAACTATGAATAGCAGGATCATATGATACATTTGCATAAAGTTAATAATGGCAGCCACATCCTTTTCAGTGATGTCAGTAATCTTGCGACTGTCTTTCCTCCAAACTGGGCCCTGAAATGGAAAAGATGGTGTGTTTTCACCCCCAGCCTGTAGAATAAATCCCAATGAACTAATGATCCTGAAATTCAAACAATAGTTGCTTTAGAAAAAAGCACACATACTGTAGTAGACTCTGTTTTTCTGTGTCATATTTTGAATGACAAAATGTTTGTCAGAAACAAATAGATTTATTTTACTCAATCCAGGGCATAGTATGGGGAGCTTATGAGGTTCCGGTCCTCAGGGCTTCAGACAACTAACAAAACACATCTTACTTCTGCTCTGCTGCCCGCCTACAATGCTTTTCACATACAGGAGGACGAGTCCAGCAAATGAATGAAAAAGCATGGCTCTCTTTCACAGACATAGAACGAGCCGGATGGAACCACTGACAGTAATCAGGTCCAAAATAGGTATATTCTCTTTTATTTTTAGTTCTCCCTCCCTCCGTGAAAAAGTACACCACTAATCAGGATAGAGAAAATGCTTGATTAACTTTCATGAGTTTTCATAGGCTGAATCTGTTATACAATGTATATTACCATGCTCTGCACGTAGTCCCATAGTTGGTTCGACAGCTGCTCCTACTTATATAGTGTTGGAAACCACTCACAATTAGCTCCTCTCCTAAATAACCACTCTTTTCACTTGCAGCTTCCGGCTACACATGCACCTCCTTGTTTCACCAAGCCATCCCATCCATCTCAAAAACACCCTCACAAAAGAACTACACTCTAGTTTGTGTGTCTAAAAACAAGAGGCACACTGAGCCACTTCCTTTTCACATCAGGTAATTTGCATGAAGGCCCTCGTCCTTTAGTGACTCCGAACGGCTCTGCCAACACAGAAAGCATGAGGAGAGACTCCAGTGTTGAGCCTCCATTATCCCGACCATGCAGTGTCCTCATTCAGTTTTCCTGAGTATTATGAATATAGCATCATGCTTTAAGAATACACAGCTTATATTATCTGCTATTCCAACAACAGAAAATAAACATAAAGTGGGTTACTCCGGGTGTCACAGGTGGGTGAGACCACCCAAGTCAGACCACTCCAACTACCCCGGAGAAAACAACATGATAAATAATCAAATTCTGCAGGATTACTTTGGATCTATTTTGTGGGGGATATTGGTTTTTCACATTCACTTTGGAAAATAACAGTTTTCCATGATCCTTCTTGCTTGTTTCCTTCTCTTTTTGTGTTTCTGATCACGTTTCTGCTCGACACAGAAATGGAGAAGACGCTCCTTTCCATGGGAGAGATAATTGACTTCTGTTCCGTGCGTGCCACAATCAAGACGGAAGACCACAACGCATTATGAAAAAGTGCTGTGTACAAAACAACGTCAGCAAGTCAGCAAATTGCTAGATTTATTTATTTTTTGAATTTTAACGATTTATGCTTCCCTAATGCATTTGCCAGTGACTAAATTGAGCCTGGTTGGAATGTTTAAATAACAGACTTCTACATCAAAATTGAATTCAAACCTTGACACACACAATGACCAGATTTAATATGTTTTTCTGTCTTTATGGAAGGATAATTTATGAAAATAATAGCTTTGGATGGTTGTTAGAACAGTCAATATGGGCAAGCGAACACTGAGCGGAAACATTCTTGTACCAACATGCGCTGAACAATCAAATGAAAAATGTGGATTCCTTACTAAGCGTTCAGCGGTACACTTTCTTGTATGTGTCATAGTACAGATTATCAATACATTAAAGACACATCAGCTTTCTTTTTGCAGGCAATATATCAGAACAAGGCAACAGTATATGTTAGATATGTTATATTAATAAGTTACTGAGTAAATATGTAAATCTATATATATGACAATTGTGTTTGAGCCATTTGAGTAACGACCATACTGAAATAAAATAAGTTAAAGACCGATGAACATACAAAATGCTAATCATGCAAAATGCAAGACTAGCGCCTGTCGCTAAACCTCTAAAATGTCTGGTAATTATTAATGTGCAAAGGTTATAAAACATATCTAAACCCATTCATCAAAAAATAATAACCAAGACATAAACTGGCCTGTTTAGTCCATCAACCTCACATGACCTTGACAAATATGGTAATATAGATTAAAGTTGAATAGAAAAACATGAATTTGTCAATGAAACAAAAAGTCATTATAAACCACTAAACATACACAGCCTAAAGACTATGGTATATTTAGCATTGTTTATACTGCATTTATTAAAGGAATCATGTGAAATATTGTGAAATCCATTATTTACCTTCTTGTTGAGAGTTAGTTTAAAAGATTGATACCACTCTCATGTCTGTGTGTCAAGTTTGGAGCTAGTCACAAGACAATTAGCTTAGCATTGTGAAAGAGCTACTGTAGCTTGACAATTACCCAAATTCAACTGAATAATGATTTGTGGTTTTACAGGGAGTTATATGCTGTTAACATGCCTCAGAATACAACATCAAGGAGCGCCTTGTTATCACCAGAAACCAGCGGAGACACCCCACACAGGTACTGTTGTCTATCAGGAAATAATTGGAGCAGCTAGCTATTTTTTTTATTTATTGGTTTGGCCCTCATTCCAATCCATTAAGATAACATTGTACTTCAAAGTTAATATCAATGATCAAAGAAGGAAGAGACATCACTGAAAAAGGAGGTTTTCCAAAGTCATTTCAAAGAGAGAACAAAGGCAACAGTTGACTGCTTAAGCTTTGACCCACTGTACTTGCTGTAGTGTTGAAACCTACATCGTTGTATCACCATATTCACAGAAGCATTTGGTGAGTATGGGCTAACTGATGAATATAGGCTCCAAAACTTTGAAAACAAATTGTAACAAAGTGGAATTATCCTTTAAGCAGAACAAATATGAGTGACAACCATCAGACCAAGCATTGTGTTAAGAGAAAAAGTGGATACTTTTAACTATAAATGATCTTCCGGCAGCATAGCAGGCTCAACATCTTTGGGTTTTGATATCTCTGCTATAATATGCATGGGTGGGTTGTTGTAATTAATTATCATTCAACTAATCACACTTTGAAATACACTTTCCGTATATCCCTTTAAGTTAAAGGTAGACTGGTTCAACTCCAACCAATATTTTATCAATAAACTGCCAAACTGAGTCAAATGGGAGTTTATTTAGTTCTCATGAGTCGTATCTGAGTAGAAAATATCAGTGCAGCACTCAACAACACATCCAGCAACATGTCAGCTTTGTGTTTAATAGATTGAGGAAGGATCTCTGCAGTTAAAGGAGTTTTCTTGCTATACTGTCTATCAACTGAAATTGCAAAAGCATCCAAATATATATTACTGCTTGGGGGGGAAAGGACTACAAACAAAGTTTGCTACAATAAAAAAGAACCAAGGTTTTCGAATGTGAAACACACTGTAATGACGTTTTTGTTGACAACACACCAGTAGCAATGAAACCTTTTTCTTTCTTTTTTTAAAGAAAATATAAAGTGTTTTAGGGATTGGGGGGTCATTTTCTAATAGACACACATTTTCAGTCAGAGTTTCTAAAAAGGTATTTTTCTTTAAACTTAGTACAAAAAAAGACATCTCTACCCGTTAGTGCTTCGTTTTAAGATACTATAACATAAATAAACAATTTATTTTCAGTGTTCAGAACAGACAGTTCCAGTGTGACTGGAAAACTAACATACTCCACCATATTCCAGTTGGCAGCAGAGGGTTTAACAGAGTTCTCCACTCAGATTTTGGCGCACCCCAACGCACCATACTTACAAAATGTTCTTCATGTCTACAAAACCTCCAACATAAGCCCCAGCCAATTTGGGGGGTTCATTCGTGTCAAGATTCACCTTTTTTGAAAATAAGACAAAACCCTTAAAAGTTTTCAATCAAGGACTTGACGAATCTGTTCCAGTCACCCCGCATCAGCTGCTGTCATTTTGATCAACTCCCAGGTTACTGTGTTTCCTCTCCGAGTCTCCTATGAATTTAACAATTACAAATCCCAGAGTTCACACCGGCCTCATTCATTACCTGTAGTCCCAACTTCACTGTGGATACATCAGTACATGAGCACAATCTCTATGCAACAGTAAAGTTCTGGGGTATTACCTACGGATATTTAGCATTTACTTTCTGAAAAGAAATAAGATAGTTTCTGCTGTGCAAAACGATGCCATGAAGAGCTGGTAGTGTAAATTCCATTCCTTTATTTCAAAATCTCTCACTGGTCCACGTCACACTTTTATCTCGCTCGTTCGAGTCTTCCTCATTCAGCTTGTCCTTGGCGCCTCGCTTCCTGGCACTGAGTTCCTTGCGTCCTTATTTGCAGGTAAACACCTCCGTCCTCTCACTGCACGTGTTGCACTTGACAAAGCAGCACCATTGGAACTTACAGTTGCACTGCCACACTTTGGTGTACTGGTGTGTATTGTAGCCCCGCCCACAGCACATGAGGTCGCAGCCGTCTGTATGTGGCGAGGTACGGTTGCACAGGCGCCCCTGGGTGCCCACGCTCCCCGTGGCTGTGTCCTCCTCGCAGTAGTTGGGCGACCTCTCGATGTAGACGAGGTCTGTCTCCATGGGCTTGCGGTAGCCCTGAGTCTGCTTCACCTTGAGGTGGGTGGGCTGGCGCAGTCGGCTAGCCCGGACCACCTCCACGTGCACGGCTTCGTTGTACTTGTCCTTGAGTAGGTAGCCAATCTCTCGGAACTTGGGAAGGGTAGTCCAACACGTTTTGGTGGTGCAGGAGCCCGAGACGCCGTGGCACTTGCACTCTAGCTTCATCCTTTCTTCTAGTACCTGGAGAGAAATAGAAGAAACAAAACATTTGTAAAACTGCAGCAAATATGGACATGAAATTGGACTCCAAACTTGTTTGAAAAAGAACATTTAAAAGAAATGTGTCTTTACAAAAACAATGTCCTTGGTGCTCAGTTCACAGGTTTGTTCAGACAAGGTAGGCTAGATTGGGAATATTGGAACCAAAACTGGAGCTTCTGAGGCTTTCCCCCTGTTCGCGTCTAGTTCCTGGTGCCATTAGAATCATAGCTAGATTATAGACACATCGATATAAGTCAATTGCATCCGTTTATTCTCTCTCCACAAACATCGCCAGATACTGGTGTAGCCAGTTACTCACATTTGTGGATTTGTTGATTGGTTCTAAGGTGCTACAAATTGGACCAAAAAGTCACAAATTGAATGTGGCCCACACACACACAGGTTGACAGGAAAATGTGTAAATATCACTTTACATGTTAACTATTACATGTGTATGTAGAAAAAATGACATCTTAACATGGTAAGTAATGCATATTTACAAAATACTACGTATTTTCTTGGATATGACTTTACAAACACAAATACAAAAAGTTGTTTATGGATAGCTAAATAATTGTGGTACACATATGAAGTCGTCTGTGGGTTACGTTTATTAAAATAAATAAAAACTTCCATCAGATGTTTATCAGGTTTTTGTGTGTTACAACTGTGTGCCAATGGGGCATTGCTTATCTGCAACCATTATTTTACTAAGTGGTGATTGTGCTGGCAGCACATACTGTTAATTCATTTATGCCAAAGGTACTTAAATCAAATCAAAATTTGGCTTGAGGTCAGAGCGAGACATATCTCTAAGAAGTAGGCAAATCCAAGCGTATCTGAATCCTCTGCCATGGATGACTTGCAGTTTCTTGCCCCGAGGGAGGGAAAATTGCACACACTCGTAATATTCCATCCTGTCATTTTGTCTACCTTCCATAAACCACATCAAAGACAGAGACAAATAAACATGGCTCTTGTAAAACTATCAATCATCTTGGATAATTTGAATCTAGATGATTTAGTCAATAATTGTTGCACAAAACAAACTCAATCAATTGTTTACAGCTGGACGAGAAACTTGGGGTTTATTTGACCGCTTCAACAATGTGATGAATAGAAGAAAGCAATGTCGCCACATGCATGAAAGTGGATCACAGTTACAGAGTCAGATGCTTTTAGTCAAAGAGTCATTTTAAATGCAATAATGTCAACATTTTTTAGGTTATTCCCTTACTCAGACTTGGACTCAATTTCTCTTTGAGGTTATTTCCAACATATGGTGCACAGGGCAGAATGTCTTCTCTTCGAGGCCTAATCCTGCGGCATATGGGAAATATTGTGCGCTGTCGTCAGTGTTTAAGTGTCAATCCTTTGCCCGATGGGAAAGTCAAAGACCTACTCCAAATCAAAAATGTACCCTCTTCATTTTCTGCAGAACTCTGCTTAAAGGCAAAGGAAATGAGGAAAGAGGTAGTGGAGTTGGAACGGGTCATATGAACACGTCTCTAGTAGTCCCGACATGACTCTTTTACCCAAATCAGGAATCCCCCCACTTGCTTGAACGAAGTGTTTGTCTTTGTTGTATAAGACGTAAGTTTGGTTGGCAGGGCATTTTTCCAGTGCAGCTTTTTCCTGGCACGTCGCCTCGCCAGAAGCACAACTCATCATTTATATCAGACACTTACGAAATGTACACATGAGTTGTTCAATATCTATGTCTGTCTTGTCTGCGGACTCATGTGGTCACATGTTCCCGATTTTAGGCCATTTGATTGAAAAAATATGAGCTCCCCCGACTGCAGTACATAAAAGCCGGGGTCAGCTGTCAATCACGCCTTGCATGTTGATTCAGAATGAGGATTTCCAAAAATGTACAGCGCAAAAACCACAAGAAATGCCTAACATAAGGAGTCTGACGGATGCATGGAAACATTTACTTAAACTGTGTCCATCAAAGCCTCGGAACGGTCTCTAATTAGTCCAATATGACCAGATTCCCATCTAAAGATCACTCGTCAAACACATGTCGCCGGTGCAAGATGAAAGAGATCTGGTGATTCATTGGGTGTTCTCTTACATTCCGGTTAGTCACAGAATTTATTTGCAATAATGGTTTCTGTTTCCACAATGCTTCTTATCAGTGATTACAAAACACAATCTCAGCTGGATCACATTGGCTGAACCAATTCCTTCCTCATCAGGATCACATTTATCAGCTTGTTTTTCTTTTTGACTCTTTCTCTATACAAATGTCAAGGTCTAGACTCCATGCAAATGCTAGTCTGAACTCCAGTCCAAAGCCCGGTAGTAATCCACCAGAAGCTGTTTGGTATCTGCCAAGAACGCGAGAAAAACACTAACTTATGCACTTCTGTTAACAGAAAGCAATAATGAGGAGATGCTAAATGCATATGCGAATCACATTTATGGACTATGAGCTCAGACCTCTGCATCCCTAATAACCTCCTCCAATCTAAGAGAGATTTCGGCTTTATACTGTACTGTCTCAGCAAAGAGGAAATCTGACTTTTACACATCCTCTTAGACTCTGAGTTTCCAAACACCAGAGTCAGAATAGCAACAGTGCCAACTCCAACCCTGAGTGTCCAGCATGCCAGCACCCTGGCATGTAGCACAGACCCTATCAGTCTGCTGTGTTAACACCGGCATTGTCGGCCTGCTTTCACATCCTGAATAGACGCAGTCAAATGGCAGTGACATGTTTTGGTACTGTGCAGAGAACTGCAATAATACCCTGTTCCTGACTTTACACTTCATAATTCCATGAAAGGAAAAAGGGGATGGCATCTTTCCATCTGGCAGCAGTTGCCCAGGCCCCATTTTCCCAGTGGACACAATAAAGCCCAAGTTATTAATTAGATCCATTTGTCAACATAACATAATCTTTTATCTTTTATTTACCTCACACTTTCTCTTTTTTCCTCCCTTCATGACTGTTCTGGGATGACTAATAGAAAACAAACAAGTCCATGAAGAGGTTTGCCAATGCACTCGCCCAGAAATAAAAGACGCCCTCTTAGAAGGAAAGATATGTCAATAATTGGCTGAAGCAAAGCAAGCTGCTGAACTGGGTGATCCACCAGACAGCAGATTATTCAATCCCAGTCCTTTGTCACATGACTGTGACTTTTAGCTCTTTATCTGGGAATGTTTGCTCTTCTGCAAAGGAACATACAGTACAGGCATGTATGCATCAATGCTTGAACTCATGCACGTTTTTTCAAGAATTGAGTCATAAAATGTTTTGTGTTTATGAAGGAAAGATTGTTCACCTCATCAAGTACTCATGTACAGGATAATTATTTTACATCTTGGATCTAATTTCCGTATTTCTAGCCATCATTTCTATCACTCAATATAAGATTACACTAGCCAAAGTAATTGATGAGATCTGGGAGTCTAACTAACAAACTAAGTGGAGAAAGTTAAACCATCTTCCAAGGCCAACCTGTAACAAAAAAAGATTATCTAGACATCTGGATTTTTTTGTGAAAACAAGATGGAGCTCGCCTTAAATGCTTACAAAAGGGATGCACGGGAAATCTGCAAAAGTACATGAAAGTCTGAAAGTACACTTTGATGGTCTACCTGCATGTGCCATCCGACCGCTGCAGCTCATCCAGAATGCAGCGGCTCGTCTGGTCTTCAACCTTCCTAAATTCTCCTACACCACGCCGCTCCTCCGCTCGCTTCACTGGCTTCCGGTAACTGCTAGAATCCACTTCAAGACAATGGTACTTGCGTACCATGCTGTGAATGGATCTGGCCCTTCCTACATCCAGGACATGGTTAAACCGTACACCCCAGCACGTGCACTCCGCTCTGCATCAACCAAACGGCTCGCTGCACCCTCACTGCGAGGGGGACCCAAGTTCCCATCAGCAAAAACACGTGGGTTTGCTATCCTGGCTCCAAAATGGTGGAATGAGCTCCCCATTGACATCAGGACAGCAGATAGCCTGCACATCTTCCGGCGCGGACTGAAAACTCATCTCTTTCGACTCCACTTCGAGCGATAGAATTACTAACAAAGCACTTATATACTAATAAATGGCTGGCTTATCTAAAGCCAGTTGAGTAGCACTTGAAATGTTTGGCTCTCTGAAACCTGATGTACTTATATGATTCTGTTTTCTTCTAGTATCTTCTTGGTCGAACGCACTTATTGTAAGTCGCTTTGGATAAAAGCGTCAGCTAAATGCAATGTAATGTAATGATTGAAGGTTTTAAATGAAAGCTAAATAACTTTAATTTGTTTGCCCTTTCTGACAACTATCTGATCTAACCACATTCCTGGATTTCAGCAGTTACCTTCATATTTGATCTTAATGAAATAATACATTAGAAATACCCTTTAAAATGGTTCATTATTCTTAAAAGATTTACATAAATTGCTCAATTTCCAAATATCCACATGTTTGTATTAAAAGGGCTTTGCTGTTGCTTACTTTTGAATAACATCTGGGATTACCAAAAACCTCTTTACCTTTCTCCCTGCTTCATTGTTATGCAAGTTCATCAGGCGGCGCGGCGTCTTTTTAATCTCACGGGCATCCACGAAGCGGCGAGAGAACTCGATCCCGTACTTGATGTCGGCCGAGCAGCCACCCCACTTCCAGCCTTCCTCCTGGTTGTTGTAGCCCTGCTTCTCCCGGTCGCAGCCGCACTGGCTGAGGTTGCCCTGGCTACAGGCTGCTGTGATGGCGTGGGCCACCCCCGCCGCTGTGATGGCGTAGGTGAACGCTGCTTCCCGACTGCCTGAAAAAGGACGAAAATGACTTAATTTAAGGAATACTGGAATTAAATAAGATAGAAGCAAAAAGCAGATCATGAAAAATGCCACAATTAAGCTTTTGAATCAGCCCTTTTTCATCTGCAGTGTCCCCTTTGCTGTAACAGAGTAACTTTATCCGCTGTGGGACAATTAGGATTTCTGATTCTTAATCTAATTCCTAACACACATGTAAACATATCACAGCTATCCATTTTACGTGGTTCTGTGAACCTTAAACCCAGACCCATTTTATTAGTCACATTCAAAAAGCTTCCAAAGATGTTTAAGTGAGAATTTTAGCATGTTTTAATAATATTGTTGTTTTAATAATATTGTCATTTTTATTGTTGACCATGCTCAACTTCAGTAGAGCAACACAGCACTCCAGTCACATTATGAGTTGCAGCAGAAAATGTTGACCTTGATAAACCGCACTGAAACTTCAAGTCTGCTCCATCCTCTCTAGATAAGCTACCAACGTCTCCTTCCCTCTCCCAAACAGCCTTCCTCCTGCACCTTGGTGGAAATGTGGTCACATTTCCGACCGCAAAGTCCTTGGGCCCAGCCTGCAAGAGTGCAGTGTTGGAATTCCAACGTGGGGAGAGCTGGTCTAGGTGCTGTCCAAAGTGCTGAATTCCTCCACAGGAGCACCTTGTACTGCTGCCCACACTGCGAACAGCTGGGGGCTGCAGGTCTGACTGCAGGTCTGACTGCAGGTCTGACTGCAGGTCTGACTGCAGGTCTGACTGCAGGTCTGACTGCAGGTCTGACTGCAGGTCTGACTGCAGGTCTGACTGCAGGTCTGACTGCAGGTCTGACTGCAGGTCTGACTGCAGGTCTGACTGCAGGTCTGACTGCAGGTCTGACTGCAGGTCTGACTGCAGGTCTGACTGCCTCATGCTCACTGATGAGAAGGGAGACTATCTGAGGGGCAAGAGCCACAACCAAGACTGCACACGATAAGATCAAGAGCTAAACTCAAAGAGGAGATTACATTTGACCTGTGCTGTGTGTTATTCCTAAACATTACTGTGTGGAAATCACATTAAACTACTTTTTTTTTAATGTGTGATGATCAAGTAAAATATGAGTTAGAAAAATTGAATCTGCTTTGGCTTATGCAACCGGTTACAATGCAAAATACATAACATCAAGCAAAAGTATGACGCAGCTCTTATACAGTCTATGCTTCTAATTTTAATAACACATGTTAGATGGACGTTTGAATGATTAAGTCCTTTGGAATCGAAGATAATTCATTATTTGTTTTGTTTAGTGAAAACACCAGAACTCAATGTGATGTCTCCAAAAAAGAATGATATAATGCTCCAAATTCTCCTATTTTTAGGAGGGCTGAACCAAATGCTCCACGTTTTCCTTTATAAATGACCTAAAAGATTACTTGGCTTTCCAAAATCGTTGTTGATATTTTTTCTGTTGATCAACTTTATTTTTTACGCTTTTCTCGTTTTTCTCACAGAATCATGTAATCAAATAAAAGTCCTTTGGAATAAATGATGGAATTAAGATAAAAAAGAAGATAAAGGACAATGGTACACATTTAGACTAAAGGTCGACGTACCCATGCCATTCCACTATTTTCTCTTTCTAAATATCTCAGAGTTCTCTATACTCTCCTGATGGCTGCAGAGGCCTGCCTCCCCTGGTCTAAAACAGACTGTGGGCTATTACAACCTCAGTCTTCCTTCAACTGGCAGTAATCTGGAAGCGGCCGAGCAGCAGAAACAAGGCTAACCGCAGAGCAGAGAGGAATGTCTTTTGATGTATGTTGTGTAATGTGTGTTGCAATTATTTGGATCTCTAGGTAAAATGCATTTTTCTGCACTTCAGACAACCAAAAGCTCCTTGATGATTTATCATTTCCTCAATGGCTTTCACAGAAACAGCCAAGACGCTTGTCAGAACAATTTGGCAAACAAACTCCACTTTATTACGTCAGATCCAAACAGTAACTCCAGTGTTCTGGACATTATAACCTGATGTCACGCTGCAGGCGAGTTGGGTGTGAAAAGCAAAGGATATTTCAAACCTTATTAGATAAGTTGTTTGTAATTCTAGTAGCATCTAGTAGGACAAACTGTCATACAATGTGATGAATTATGATGAGTTATGCCTGATTATAATCAAGTTAAATCATAATCCACTGTATTGAACTATTTGGCTATAACATGCTAAAACATGTCCTGTGAGACATATTTAAATTAATGGAGTTAAACAAATATACAAAACTTTCTGCGTGCATAAGGGAGCTGCAAAACATTCAGTACCTACAATAAATAACCCGTCAGACACTGCAGGCGCACCCACATTCGTGTCTACCAAAAACCAAAATAATATCCTAAAATGAGCAAATGGAGGAAATGTTTACATCTGCAGCAGCAAAGTACATCAATAAAGTGGAAATTATAAGGACATAAAACACAAAAATGCCTCAGCATGGCCTATGTCATTTTCCCTGACCAAATAAACGTAACAATTTTATAAAGTTACTAGGCGTAAAATCTTTGCTTATTTTAACTAAGTTAATGGGCCCAGACAGTGCGGTCAGATAGAGCCAAGGCTGCTAGCATTAGCTGGAGTCTTGCCTTGGTATGACTGCTTCGCATTAAGCAGAATAGTAAAATGTACTTATCTGTTCTGGTTTATATTTGCCTATTGCCTAATTTTATTGCTCTTTTTGCACTACATATTCCGTGCCTAAGTGCAGCTTTTATATTTCATTTCCTCTTCTTTCTTCCGAGGGATTTTTTTTGCACCTCTTATTCTAGTCTCAGGGGCATTTTGTGAACTCTCACAGACGTTTTCACCCAAAGCCACTGTTAATTTCCTATCTTGGCACTGGTGCTGCAGAGCTAATACCACGGCCACAGGTTTGCCTGGTGGGGACTGACTCACAACCACTTGCTCCTTTGGTTAGCAGCAGAGCTGTGCCCCACCAGCTTGTGGTAACAATCTGCTGCCCCCACCTCACACACATGCACAGATGGAGGCGCGCAACCATAATGTAAATGCATTCACACACATTCATATGCACGGAAATCCTCAGTGACCGGCCACATCATAAAAATACACAACACGCTCACACCGCCCTCCACCCTCACACACATACACTGTTAAAAACACATTTGCACAAACAGAGCGTCACTGTAATGTTTAAAACAGGATAAAGGCAGTTTCCAGAGAAAGGGTGGTTCCCTGAGCCGTAGATGCTCGCCCATTTCTGGGCCCATTGAGTTGTGCTGCTCATGGGGAAAATGATGATGACGGGGCTTGTACTGGTTGTCACCCCCTGGTGGGTCTGGCAATGCCGAGGCTCTGCATGGCCATAATGAAAGCCAATTACACAAGCCATGGAACTGTGCGATTAAGACCCTCTTTTTTCATTGTGCAATGAACCAAAGAACATCGGAAATCAGATGTTTGAAATATGTTGTCTGCTGCGTATATATATCCTTGGAGCATTCAATCTGCCTCTTGCCTATTCAATCACATTATGTATGACGAATCTTAATATTAAAAACATATAAACTACAATCAAAACTTTCCCTCCATACAAATGCAGAGTTAAGCTTGAACTCTAGTCAAACTATTACAGGGCTCAAAGGTTTTTCACTGAACAAAACAAATTCATAAATATTACCACAGCAGGGAAACAATGCTCTGTTGTCTTGTGTCGGATGTTGTGCGTGCAGCATCGTTTTACACCCGTGCCCTCAGGAAAAAGGCCCTGCTTTGCTTAACAGCCGTATGGTTGATGAAAAGCGGAGGAGAAAAAGCACCCATCACAGCCGCTGAAAGCCCAGCAGAGCCTGGCCCCAGAGTCCTGAAACCCCTCCAGGAGGAACCACCCTGGGATAGCCTCGCTAGCTGCCAGTGGAAAATTGGAGTGACCAAAAAAACCTCAATGAACTTGGAAACATCCAGAGGAGAAGAATGGAGCAATATTAAACCAGATGTCTAATGGAGTTTAGTGGCAAGTGTCTGCTACACTATCCAAGAAAGTGTGGAGGAAGAAGATCAGTCCAGCTACACTTAAAACAGGTACAAGCCTTAAAAAACAAGCAAGTGACTAAAACCAGAGATTTAATGAAAGCTACTGGCTCAGAATGCATTGGCCTTCACATTAACTGACCAAACCACTTTGGACCCTTGGCTGAAACTGGGACACAAAAAGAAATCTCTGCATGTAGTGGCTTGCCGCTAAAATGGCAATCTGTGTTTATAGCCGGAGGCAGGCACACCGCTAGACGATTTAACATGACACAGCATGGAGATTTACAACCGATGATACTTTACGGGCAGTGCTGGTGTAGCAAAGGCTAGCTGACACTGCCGCTGAACCTCAACAAGACATGGTTAGGCTATGTTGCTGACAAGAGAGAAAAGGGCAAAGATATATTGTAGGGACTTAAACACAAGGCTACAGGCCACTGCTCTATCCAAAAAATAAGTCAGTTTTGTTGTGTCTTTTTTCTAATAATAATAATAATAATAATTCCTTACAGCGCTTTTCCAGATGCTCAAAGCGCTTTACAAATACACATATCATACATGCAATGGTCACCACTGTGGACAATACCCACAGGAGCAAGTTCAGGTGAAGTGTCTTGCCCAAGGACACAACGGCGGCAGGTTTCACCCCTTGATCTGATGATCATTGCACAGCGCACTGCGCCACACCGTCCATCTTCACGCCTCGAAGTCATCGAGGCACTTTTACAAGTACACATTAGTATCATACATGTACTGTGGACAATACCCACAGGAGCAAATCCGGGTGAAGTGTCTTGCCCAAGGACACAACGGCCTGACGCAGTGGCGGCAGGAGCGGGTTTCGAACTGGAGTTCCCCAGCACCCCCCTTGATCTGATGATCAGATGCACAGACCACTGCGCCACCCGTTCTAGATGGTGAAACGACAAATGTACACCATCTAGAAAATCTATTTTGTATTTTTTGGTTA